TCGGCCCTCGGCTAAGGGCACCTAGGCGGGGGTGCCTTGACATGCCCGCTTAGGACTCACAGCCTAGGCGGTCTGTCAGCCAAGCCACTTACAAGGCCGGGCGGCCAACTTTTTCAACCTTGGTTCTGGCAACTAACTTGGAGTGGCTGCTTAACAACTGTAAGTCAAGAATACATTCTTTCATGGGGAACTATAGAAAGAAGCATATGTGGTAACTCCACTTGAGTTAGAGCCACTAGACACGAGGGAAAAGTTTGTAGATTTAAAAAGGCCATTTATGGACTAAAGCAGTGTCCTTGAGCTTGACTTGAGAGGTTCAGTGGTCTTGCTCAAAGAATTGAGTATACACAGAATCGTACAAACCATATCTTGTTTTTAAAAAAAGACCAAAGTCAGTACCATAACCCAGATTGTATAGGTGGATGATATCATTGTAATAGGCAAATGTTCTAAGGAAATCCAGCAACTCAAGAGCTTTCTGGCAAAGGAGGCTGAAACTACTGATCTAGGTCCATTGAAGTACTTTCTTTGGATAGAAATGGCCACATTAACGAGGAGAACCTTTGTCTCTCAAACGAAGAATGTGTTGGACCTTCACAAAGAATAAGAAAGCTTGGGTTCAAACCAACTGATATTCCTATGAAAGAAAACACAAACTAGATGACCAAAGGGGTGAAGCTCTCAAACATGTAGTGTTTCAAAGATCAAAGATCAGCAGGTAGGTTGATATATCTTTAACTTGCACATCCAAACATGGCATAGCTGTGAGTGTGCGTACTTAGTTCATGCACACTACACAAACTACTCATCTTGAAGCTACTTATAGAGTTCTTAGATATTTAAAATCATCACCAAGTAAAGGACTATAGCTTGCTAATCATACACGCTTATGAGTTGGGGCTTACATAGATGCATATTAGGCTGGTTCTATTGTGGACTACAGATCCACATCACGCTCCTGTACTCTGCATGGGGCTAACCTTGTGACTTGGAGGAGTAAAAAACAGACGGCTGTAGGTCCTTCAAGTGCAGAAGCATGGTATCGAACTATCGACCCATGGCTCATGGTTAAAAATCATATTACAAGAGCTTGGTTTTCTTATGTAGAGGTCCATGTCCTTGTATTGTGATGACCAAGCAGCTAATTTATATAGCTCACGATCCAATCCAACATGATAGGAATAGAGGTAACCAACATTTCATTCTAGAAAGAGTTGTCATGAAAGAAATTTACCTTCCATATGTGAAAACTGAAGACCAGCTAGCAGATATTCTTACCAAGGCCGTTGAAAATCTCAACTACAAGTGATCCTATGCAAGCTCGACATGAGGGATAGCTATGCAGCAGAGGTGGAGTATAGTAAATGTCAAAGTTTATACTCTTTTCCTAGTGTATTTAAGCCACTAAGGACTTGTGTGCCTTTTCCCTCACTAAAAGGACATCAGAGTATGCACAAGTAAAAATTAATGATATATATAATAGAAGAAAAGGGTATGTGGGTTAGATTAGAACCAGACATCACTCCCTATCTTCTCTTCTTTTTGCTTCGACGTGATACTCTCTCTCTACACCTCTTTCTTTTTCTCATGATACACACGCACACACACGTTTTCATCCTAGAGAATTCTTTACAATTACTTCAATTTCGTTATATGGAAATTTTCTTGATATATTTACATGCTTTGAAGGGTTGCACAGGGGCACGGTCTTATAAAAGAGCGCCATGCCATGAAGTTGGGGGGTCATCCCATAGTGGAGGTTGGAACACGTGTTCCTACAAGGATGGTTGACCAACCATCTCTAATAAAGCAAAGCTTGAAAAGTTTAAGAAACTATGTAAACACAAGGGGTAGGTGGGCCCTGCCACCACCTCTCCCTTCAATAAAAAAAATTCAAATTTTGAAAACTACATAAAGACAAGGGAAAGCGGGCCCCGCCCCCTCATCCTTCGATAAAAAAATTTCAAAATTTTAAAAAAGGTGGTCGGTTTTGGTACACAATTGAACCGTTCAGTTCACTGACAGAACCCTCTATCAGTAAACCGGCTTGAACCCGACGATTTGAAGGGGGAACCGATCAGTTCCCGATATACCCAGATCGGCCTAGCCGATTGCTGGTCTGAATCGGACAATTCCAATCCAGATCACTGACTTTAAAACCTTGATTGAGCTAGCTAATGGGATCTTTTTTTTTTTCTTTCTATCGATGAAAATTTCTATCTATCGATGGAAAAGGAACTGTAAATATTTCTCCTCAATCATCATTGTTATTAGTTCTTCTTGTTACCAGCTTTGCTACAAATTGAATGTCTGCTAATAGCATTACCAAGAGTCTAAACTATAGTGTAACCTTTTTTTGCTTCCCACTATAATTTTTAAGACCTATATACAAAAGAAACGATTGGCCATGGTCTTGAAGCCGGTGGTCTCTACATTCTAGACTTGCCTACTAACACTCAAGCTCTTCAGTCCGCTTCAATGTTAATAAAAATCAATTTTGGCATTGGCATTCCCAACTTGGTCATTTGCCTTTTCAACAATTCAAAGTTTTGTTTCCTAAGGTATTTATTTCTATTAGTGTATCAGAGTTTCAATGTGAACTCTGTGAATTGTCATAACAATGCAAAAACTCTTTACCCAATAATAATAAAAACACTGCTTCTTTTGTTATTGCCAATCGTAATGTGTGGGGCTCCTCTCCTATTTCATCTATTTTTTTAGCTATTAGAATTGTTTCTTTTTTCATACCATTAGTTTAACTTGGTCTACCTTATGAAGACTAGAGTTGAAGTTCATGTCTTCTTGATTCACGGTCTTTCATAACATGAGGCGCTTATATCTAACCAAGGTGGGGATTACAAGAATGACAAGTTGTCTTATTTGAAAGAACATGGAATAGATCATCAAAATTCTTGCTCAGACACACCACAACAAAATGGTGTAGCTAAAAGGAAGAATAGACATTTTTGGAAGTCGGCCATGCTCTTCTCTTGAGAATGAATGTACCCCAAAAATTCTGGCCAGAAGCTATGCTCACTGCATGTTATCTTATCCTATAAACTTCTCTGCCCTAGTCATCCAATGTTCAATGTTCTCCCTAAAGTCTTTCATTGTGTTTTCTTTCATCCTATCCTTGGTCCATACCATATAGAGCTTGATCCCAAATCTATAAAACGTGTTTTTCTTGGTTATTCGTCCTATCAAAAGGGCTGCAAATACTACGATCCAATCTCAAGGAAGAAGTTCTCAGATAGATAACTTCTTTGAGTCCACTCCTTTTTTGCATACCTCTCTTCAGGGATAGAACAGTGTGGATCAGAGTTCTCCTATTCCTCTTCTCAGTCCTATGTTTCCTGAATTTGGACTTTAGGAGGACAATGGAGGGTGAACGTGCGATATTAAAAAGAAACAGTTTAAAATCTTTACTCATTAGAAACTGAAGGGAGAGACCACCAAAGCTGACAAGCCTTCAAGTCAATTACATATCTTTGATCTAGATACCAACAGTTCCCAGTGTGATGACTCGGATCTGCCCATTGTTGTACAAAAAGGCAGATGAAGTTGCACTGTACACCTAATCAACAATTTCCTCTCTTATGAATCTTTGTCCCCTTTCTTCCTGCTTTCGTGTCTAATTTGTCTTCTATTTTTGTTCCTTCCAGTTTTACAAAAGCAAATTAAGAATAGAAATTGGGAAATGGTAGATCCTCCTAAATAGTAGAAGTTGGTTAGCTGCAAATGGGTTTATATTGTAAGGCACAGGAGATTGTACAGTTGACAGATACAAGGCACGATTAGTTGTCAAAGGGTTGACTCAGACTTGTGAAATAGACTACCAAGAGACATTCGCACTTGGACCCTTTTATCTATGGCAGCTAACTTGGAGTGGCCATTACACCAATTGGATGTGAAGAACGCATTAAAGTGTACGTGGTACCTCAATCGAGCTCCTGGATTGTAGATTGAGAAAGGCAATCTACGGTCTAAAGCAATCTCTCTGAGCTTGGTTTAAGAGGTTCAATGGTGTTGTTCAAAGAATTGGGTATAATATGAGTCATGTTGATTATACCTTATTTTCAAACATACCAAGACCAGCACCATTCTCCTGATGGTATATATGGATGATATAGTTGTTACAGGTAATTCCTAATGACATTCAACAACTGAAGGTTTTCTAGTAGGGAATTTGAAATAAAAGATCAGGGTTCAATGAAATATTTCTAGGGATTGAAGTGACCAGTGCTAAGAGAGGAATCTTTATATCTAAAAGAACTATGCGTCAGACGTCCTCAAGGAAACAGGAAAGCTTGGGGCTAAACCAGTTAATACTCGTGTGCAGTAAAACCACAAATTTTACGGCCAAAAGGTGAAGCTCGCAAATATATGGTTATGTTTCAGAGATTACCGGGTAGATTGATATATTTCTAACTCACATCCAAAAATTGCATATGCTAAGTGCGATTAGTCGGTTCATGTATGCTTCACAAACTATCATCTTGAAACGCTTGACACGGTTCTTAGATAACCAAAATCGTCACCAGGTAGAGGATTGTTGTTCGCTAATCATAGGCATTTGAAAGTTAAGACTTATACAAATGCAGATTGGGCTGGTTTTATTGTCGATCAGAGATGTACATTACCCTATTGTACTTTGCTTGGAGGTAATCTTGCAACTTGGAGGATTAACTAACAAAGTTACATAAAAAGAATATACTATATCAATGGATGCTCTAATAAGATACGAATACAATAAAATTAGTAAATAACATATGCAAGACATCATATAGTGCTTCTTGAGCATGGGAATAGGCATTAACCTCTATTCCCATGAAAAGAGAGAAGCACCTAGTTGTTAAAGATCATATAAAAAGCAACCAACACATAGACTAAAAATACTTGATGAGTCTGAAAGTCTGCAGGAATAACTTGCAAGCATGCTATGTCAATAAAGTCACATATATCCACAATAACGAATAGAGTAACAAGTAAAGATCACATACCTTGACCAAGTCAATTGCACGTTGTGAAAAATCACATGCATGAACAAAAATATTCGGAAAGGTCGAAATCAAAGGAAACACAGTATTTCCAGCTCCACAGCCAACCTATTAGTTATCAAAATCATGTTATCTTGTGGAGTTATGGGAATTTATTCACAATCAAACTCCGCAATAGTCAAAATCATATGTTATTGAATATGAAAAAAAATTCAACATGATTAGTGAACATTTGTGAGTAAAGTGATCTTGGCACAATATGAAAAGCAAGTGAAATCATAGTAAATATCGGCAAACCAAAATATCAGTCATATATCAATTTTGTTCCGATAAGTCAAACGCAAAAGTTGGGGCCAAAATATGGGTTGCCAAAAATTAGTTAAGTTAAAGAATCATGAATATTCCAAATTTGACTAATAAAAAGTATTGAAAAATCAGTATGTAAAACTGACATAAGATAAAATTATGATTTGCAGTTATTGTGAGGATACATTAAAGTCATTGCACAATAATTTCATGTCCTTACTATTTACCCAAAAAAAGGTTTTATACCCTTACCTGGAATCATTTTGGGCAATACCTAACAATTTTTTATCATAATTTCAATTACATACAACAATAATGCTTCCTTGACAGTCACGACATAAGAAGTTAATAATTTTATTGGGAGCATACAATGAAACAACAGCAACGATAATAAACGCCACAATTACATTAAGAAATAACAAGAATTGTGACCTGACATATAGGATTACTGTTAGGAAGAAACAAAGAACCCCCATAGGATTGCAGTTAAGAAAAATAAAGAAACAATAGTTCATTCAATTGTAGTGCTGCACACACAGTGAAATAACAAGAAATTTAAAAACTGTAAAATTAATCAAACTTATGTATATAGAGAGAGCAACAAAATGCTTACTTGTAATGACCAATGTGTACGCAAACCACGATATTCAAACATCACCCCGAATTCTCAATTGCCAAAATCTTTAGTCGTGACTGAATCTCTCCCTTGCAATTTGTAATGATATTCTTGATTTGGAGAAAAAGAAGATTTTTCATTCGGTTACTCTTCCTCAAACTCTGTCGATTATTTTGAGATATATGGTTGTTTTGGGAGAATACTTTTTTCCAAGGAGTACATTGCTAGTGTTTTTTTCTTTTGAAATACAATTCTTTAAGGGAATATGTTGGTGAAAATGTTTGATGGAAGTTTTTTTTCAGATTCTCAATTTAATCCCACTTTTCATGTGCTTTGTCTCAAAAAACTCAAAGATATTAAACCAACATATAACAAGAAAATCCTAGGGAAGAACTTTTTTTAAGAAGTTTTTTTGAAATAAGATACACATTTATATCGCTTCCATAAAAGAACGTGATTTTTTAAAAGATGCTTTGAAAAACTTGGAGTTCTTAATGGATTGCAAAAAATCTAAGATTTTTGAAAAAATCATGTTTTAATTGGAGACTTGCTAAGTATGAGTGAAATATGATAGAGGTAATCATTGAATTCAACCCAGAACGTCCTCATTCTAAACTTCATGTAACAAGTAAAACAATTTTTTTTTGTTTTTGAGAATGTTAAACAAAAGTGAAAAACAAGTAAAAATATTTGAAAGAAAAAAAAAATGAACAATTCTTAATCTCTCATTTTTTACCGTAAATGAATGCAATACTGAGTAAGATGGCTCAAGGCAGAACACAATAAAGATAAAAAAATATTCGCCGTCAAAGAGTACTACCTCTGAAACAACCTTTCTCATATCAGAATTTCTCCCTGTGTACAACTTGCTTTCATCATTGTCTTGGGGACACTGAAATAAAAAACAGAAGAATATAGGAATAGTTTCCAAAGAGTTCAGAGATGAGAGAGAGGGACAGAGAGACTTTAATTCATAAAACCCCAAACAGTGTGATAGTTTGCAAGTACTCCGAGAAACTAAAGAGAAAGAGGGGGAGAGAGAGAGAGAGAGAGAAAGAGAGAGAGAGAGAGAGAGAGAGAGAGAGAGAGAGAAGAGAGAGAAGAAGAAGAAGAACAAACGACAACAACGAACGTAACTAACTACACAACAACGTAAACAACCGACCCTACTTACTACTACAACTACGTACTACGTACTTACGTTAACGAACGTAAC